CTAGGTAATCTATTGAGGCTTGGGCAGTAGACCAGTATTTATCGCGGGCATACAAATGGAATTTGGGCTCCCATCCAATAATATGAGATGCACTCTCACCCTGAACTCTTGGGGGAGGGTCTAGGCACTGCCCTGGATGAAATGACAGACTATGGACACCCCCATGGAGGGCCTCACCCTCCCTGGGGAAATGAGGGGATATTGGGGAGGTTGGTGGGAGGGCATGGGAGGAGGGGAGGGAAATGGAGAGGGACCTGGAATTGACATGTGAAGCAACCTTGTTTCTAATTTAAATTTAAAAATAAATAATTAAAAAAAACAATATAGTAGTTATCATTTGGCAATGCGAGTCATCAAATCCCACTGCTAGAAGACATTTAAAAGACACATACCCGTGAAGGTAAGAAAATTACTGAAGGGCTAATAGAAAGGACTTTCAGGACAAGTGAGGTAGAACCCACTGGCATAAAGAATAAAAAATAAATATTGTGACAGGAAAGGTTTAACTAGGTGAGGAAGCTGAAGGTAGGGCAAAGAAGGAGTATGCAAAGTATAAATAACACTACAGTTGTTTTGAAGAAGACCTATAAAACTTACCACTGTATAAGTTTACACACCTAATGTAATAAGACAATAATGCACTTGTTAGATACCATAGAAAATTTGTAGTGTCTAAAGAAAATAGAGTATTTCTAGAATGTAGCAAAAAGTGAGTTGACCTGACTCCAGTGAATGATCACACATGTAATAAAATTTGAAACCTTGAATTCTTGGTGTTAAATGATTAAGGGAAATGGACAAAAAATTCAGCAGCTATGGAAATGAGAGAGATCTGGGAGAGTTGTGGGGGTAAATGTGACTAAAGTTTATTGTCTGAAACTTACCAAGAACTAACAATTAAACATGAACACACACACACACACACACACACACACACTGCGGAATATTTCAATAGAGAGTTATTTACATAATAGTAGTTCCTTAAGAACTGTTATATGTAATGTAATAAAGATTTTAGTTGTCAACTCATGGGGAAATCTTTGAATATATCATATTGCAGTGCTATATTTATAAATGGAAAAATAATACTATCTCATAATTTGAATAAATGTGATTAACAAACTTTAAATCAACCTTGGTAAGCTAATGTGCTTGTATTCAATGGTATTGGCTTATCTAATGTCAGCAGCAAATATGGATACATTAAATATTCATATATATTCATATATATATATATATTTGTGCTTCAGTTCCCTTGCCTATGTGATGGTAGGAGCTTTTATTCAGATTTTCACAGAAGTTTCCACTAAGATAACATATCTGGTAAAGTATACCCCCTGGAAGCCTAAGAGTGGACATGGTTCATAGACCAGTGACCTTTGTGGTATCTGTGTGGCTGAGACCCTACTGATTCCTCCTTGAGACCATTATGGTGAGCTAGTTTCCTTCACTCAATCTATAGAACCTATTTTTATGAACAGAGACTGGATATAGTCCTGTCTTAAGCATTGTTGTGTACATGGGATCGAGGTAATAATCATCAAGATGTTTTCCACCAAATTGTGCTGTACTTCTTAAATATATCTAAAATAAACTACTTGGACTCAGATTGTCTGAGTCGAAACAACGCTGGTTAACTAGTCGTGTTGAACCTAAGTACTTTCTTAGCTCTCACAGGTCATTACTCTGCTGACCATGGTAATCAAAGAGATACCCATACAAAACCGTCCTTTAACCATAGCAGAAAGTGATATCACAGTCCAGCCACATTACTATTGCTTTTACCATGTGCTTAGACAGTGAACAAGGGCAAAAGGATGGAAGAATGAACATACATTCACATTCTTTGCAGTGAATGTCTCTGCTATTACCTTTGGTCTCTCGCTAAATTGCATAGATATCTTGGTTGAATTCTTCATTGTCACACTGTACCACAGACATGAGGTCTCTTCAGTGGAGAGAATGCTGGCTTCTGCTTTCTTTGGCAGGCTCCCACTGCACAGCACACACAAGTCTTAGGCTCCTGCCTCACATATGGGGTACATGGGATCACATATGTGCTGTGCACCCCCTGACCAAGCATTTTTGTTCTCCTAAATCCTGACACATTGCCTTGCTAGCACTCTTCTCTTATTTGCATAATTCCCTCAGTAGAGAAACTGAAGTGCTTTAAATATTAACCAGTAAAAGCAAAATTCCACAGGACAATGTACTCTTTAGTACAAATTATATTAAGAAGAATTTTAAAAAGCATTTGAAAAAATTGCGACTGCATTCCTAAGCAGAGCATGTTTTTCCCATGTGACTAATGTTAAAGTTAAGGCTCACAATTATGGGAGAGCTTCTGCCACTACTGAGGGACAGTTAGGCTTGGCAATAGGTGTCGAAGATAAACTTTCCTGAAAGCAATCTCCCAACATGGCTATAAAATCTTAACTATTGCTTATTTGTTCTGTACACCTGTTTGTGATTGGAATTAAATTATATTTCAGTAATGCTCACTGAATGGGTCTCTACGGCTTTTTTATTACCAACTATTAAATTCAGGAAATTACAATTTAGTGTACTGTTTTACTTAGTACGTGTGTATTAACTCTATTCCCACAAGAAGTAATAGCAAACAGAAAAAATAAACTCAAATAAATAATTAAGACGTTACTCTTATAAAAACAGGACTTCTCTTTGGTAATGACTGCAAATGATACATTTTTTACATGCAAGTGTGTTTGTAAGTTGGTTTCTACTTGATGTGAATATTATTGGGGCTTAAGTGATGATTCAGAGTTAAATAACAGCTACTTATCTAAATCCTGAGAATTGTTTCTCCTGTAAGATCTGCTTAATGTTTTCAACACTCCTTTGTAGACATTTTCAAAGGTTAACTCCAGTTTTCACCTGACGCTTAGTATCATTTATTATTTATTTAAATGTTCTCCCAAATAAAAAGATGCAAAATAACATATTAAGCCAGGAGATTTAGAAATGAAAATTATCCAGAATGATATGAAATTAACCTTTTCACGTCTCCTTTACAACACATCAGTTTTCTACTAGTATGATGAAAATATAAATTAAATAAATGTGCCGGCAGAAACATTGTAAGAGTTACAGGCTGAAAGGAGCACAGTGAATCAGGGTCTTCCGGAACTGACAGGACAAAGCATTTCTGGGTTCTCAAGAGTAACTGCCAGAACGAAATCAAACTGGAAACACTTCAGCAGGAGTACAAAAGGAGCTCATGATGTAACCACCCAGGGTTGAAAGCTATGGAGAGCTAATGACTTCTTTAAGGAGATGGCCTCTGGTAGGTTGACCATGCTGTATGAATGTCTCCATATTCATTTGTATGGGAAGCACAAAATGGATTTTAGATGTTAAAAGAAAAATGTACATGAAGTTGGGAGGGAACAGGAGGGTGAGTTGAGGATATGGGAGGAGATAGAGGGAGAAATGGGAGATACAATAAAAATAGATTGTGTGCATGTATGAGATTCTCGAAGAATTGACAAAATTATGATTTCTTTAAAAAGAATTTGAATAATATGGACAGAATAAATAAAAGTTATAATAATAAGTATGGATTTATAAAAAGCTATGAAAAAAGCTGGGTGTTGGTGGCACATGCCTTTAATCCCACCACTCAGGAGGCAGAGGCAGGTAGATCTCTATGAGTTCGAGGCCAGCCTGGTGTACAGAGAAAGTCCAGGATAACCTCCAAAGAAATACAGAGAAACCCTGTGTCGAAAAACAAATAAAAAAGATATGAAAAATGCAAGACACAAGGATATCACTTGTGTCCTCAGCAGGGGATAGACAGGAATATAGGTCAATGGCAATATGAACAATTTGGAATTTATTAACATGATTATAAAACGTGTGCAGCTTTAAAAGAAAGTAGTTTGGTAGTAAAATGGTTAATCATGGAATAATCACACAAAACAAAAATTCTACACAAGATATATTCAAGAAAATGAAATACAAACATTTTTATTGTAGTATTTCCATGCAGATATGAATAAAAACATTATCAATTACCTAAGTGTAAAACAACAATGAAATCGTACAGTAAAGAGATTTAAATAAAATGTGCTAGACCTGAACAACATAGGAAACTTTATTTTCACATGGATGTAACATTACAAAAATTAATATCCTAAATGAAACTACTCAGACACAAATGACCACATATTCTCTAATTGTCATCTATAATTTTTACTCTGAAATAATCATACTATTATATTTAAGTTTTTCATGAGTTTTGAAGTATTCACTAAAGATTTATATCATTTTTATCTACAATTCTAAACTGACACTAAATGGTACCCTTTGTTTGCATTTTCTAACATGAAGACACCATTATCAAGAAATTAGATCTCTTTATAAAAGTTTTGTTTTAATTTTAATGACAGTCATAATTTCTTTTTTCAACACTAAAGTAATAGTTTTTATGCATGGTTTCTTTTTGTTGTTTTTTTTTATAAGCTTTTGTGTTTATGCACTGCCCTGGGTTGATGTCCATTTCATCAGCTTTTTGTTGTAAGATTTGCTTAAAGAGAGGTTATATACACCACTCAGATTTCCCAATGAATTATTTCACTGTAAATGGTATAAGTACTAATTAAAGCAAGGGTAGTATAATGATATTTAGGGCTGAACTGTCAGATAATAAGTACCCTTGTTGAAAAGACTTGATGGCATAAGTGAAGTTCAAGTACATGAAACAGAAAAGTAGCAAAATTAAGAGGAAAATCAAACATACTTGACTCAAGGATGAGGACTAATCATTCTATAACATCAATTTTCTAACTTCAGGCTAGGATGAAAGTGAAGGAGAAACAACAAAAGTTGTTCATTACATTAGAGATATGAGAATGACTCCATCTATAAATTCTGTGAAATTCTGACAAAACGAAATGAGGGGTATTCTGCTGACCCGCAAATCTCTGCATGTGATTTCATGCACAATGACATTATTTCCTGGGATACATAGAGCAGTTTACCGTTTTCTGAAGCAGTCACTGTGATATTGTACCATGGCGTTTCTTCTCTATCAAGTACTTTTGAAGTCTTAATGGTTCCAGTATTGGCATCAATATCGAAAAATCTGTCCTCTTCAGCACTGTTGTTGATGAAATACCTGGAAGAAAGAAAATGAAAGTCTTCCTTGTAATGAATGATAAATAAGGACAATATAACTTGATGGGGGATGTACTCTGTAAGCTGTGACTATGTGTTACTCTTATTGGTTGATGAGTAACGCTGTTTAGGCCAATGGACAGGCATACTTTAACTAGGTGGCAATTTTGAGCAAAGAGGCAGTGAGAAGGAAGACAAAATGAAAGACAGCATGTAGCCACTGTGGAGTCAAGAGTCCAAAGTTACCTGTTGATACACAGATTAATAGAAATGGGTTAATAATTAAGAGAAAGCTAGCCAGTAAAAAAAGTCTAACTTGATGACCAAACAATTATAAATATATATTAAGTCTCTGAGTGGTTATTTCACAGTGTCTTCAGGGATCTCGTGGGTGGTGGGAAACTAGTCCAATGGGACAAAGATAGATGGAGAAAGTCTGGGCCACAATAACATAATGGAGTTATTAAATCAAGTGCATTAAAATACAACTATATTTTAATATATATTTGAATTAAGAATTCTTTATAACTATATTTTATAGAAGCTATAACAGTTGTTTCTAATAGTCAAATTCAATATTAAAATATTGGAGGAAAAAAACTAATGAACTCCATAAAATAAAATAGGCAGTATATTAGGGCCTGGAGAGGTGGCTTAGCAGTTAAGAGAAAATACTCCTCTTATAGATAATCCAAGTTCTGTTCTAAACACACATATCATGTGACTCTCAGCTAGATCCAGCCAGTTAACATTTCAACATGAAAGGGCCAATGAGTAAATAGCACAAATTGAATTCTATATTGTGTGTGTGTGTGTGTACATACATGCATGCATACATACATGCACACATACATACATTCATACAGTATGAGTTGACCTGCATGGGTTATGGATTTAGGAAGAGTTTTAAGGAGGTTAGAGGGTGACAACTTTCAAAACACATTGTAAACATATATAAAATTCCTAACAAATTAGAAGAAATTATTGAATTAAAAAGAGTTTTATTCTCATACAGACAATGAGAATAATTTTAAGTAAATGAAGAGATGCATTAGTATATGAGGGAAGCCACTGATGTTTTCTTGTTGCCTGTGCATGTGTTCTGTGTCTGTTGTGTTATACTACACAAGGGAAAATCTCACTTACTGAGATGGGTAAGAGTAAGGAACTGCCACAGTATTGCTACGATGTCACATTCAGATAGATGTAAAGAATAGGAAGAAGGGTGAAACACCACATGGATTTCTAGTGTGCTTTCTAAACATGTGGATTCAAAGTAAATCAGCATAAATTTAACTCAGTGTGGCAGTGGCATCCAATTTGAAAGGAAATTGAAAGAGAAAAGGAAATAAAGTACAGAGCTAATATAAACAGCCTTTAGAGACTAAAAGCAGTTCGATACTTTTGTGAGAATAGCTGGCAGAACAAGCCCAATGTAGGCTAAACTAAGTTTGAGGAGGAAGGAGAACCAAGAATACAATGTCTCAAGCAAAGCTTGGAAACATAGGAAGAAATCAACATGAATAGTCAATACTTACATGGGTAAGAGTTTAATCTATTTAGTCATCAGTGAGATGCAAAGGAAAACTATTTTTAAATTTCATACCTCTCCAGACAGAAAGACATTCAATAAGAAGTAAAAATAAAAGCTGTTAAAGATTCAGATAAACAAGGAATACTTATACAGTGATACTATGACTTTATAATATTCTACTCATTGTGAGCAGCTAAGTATGAAGATTCCACGAAAAAATAAATGAGGGCTATCATTTGAAAGAACTGTGTCACTTCTGGGTTGGAATTAGAGGATTTGTAGGTCAATATATCACAGAAGTGCTTGCATCAAATATTTGTTGCAGTACCATTTATAGCAATCATATCGTTAGAGAATTAGCTTAGATGACTGACAATAATCAATAGATAAGTAAAATATGCAGTACCCAAATAAAGAATTTAATCCAACCATATTGAATAAAACTGTTTCTGTCATGAAAACGGTTATAACTAGATATTGCACACATTTAGATATGCTGTATTTTAAACATATATACATGTATATTAATGTGGGAAATTGAGAGTTGGGGGACATAAGGCAGAGTAAAGAATGTGTGAGAAATTATATTGAGCTAATGGGAGTCAAAAAGGGAGGGGACAGAGTAGCAGGTAAACACTATCCAAGTATATGAAATTCTTGAATGGGATTGCACTTATGTATTTAACACTATGCACAATTAATACATGCCAAAGATAATTACATACAAAAGAAGCTTGTAGTACAAAATTGCAGCTCTGTCACTGCTATATAATCACTGTGTTACAAGTGAAATAACATCAAAACAGTATCTATACATGACCTAAAATCTTCAGTGTCTATGTTTGGAAATAATTAAGAAATTAGTGGGACACAACTCTGAGTACGCATAGGAGATGTCTCATGAGAAAGTAGGTGATGAAGCTGCTGATCTAATCAATGGATCAGTGCTTTGATAATACAATGCAATTAGTGGAAAAGAGTGAAAAATGGAAGGAGGAGTTTAAGTAGAGGAAGTAGGTCCAGGGAACCTGCATTGTAGGGTTTATTTGGATTGGCCTTCTCCTACAGCAATTCCACTATTCAATGCTCACTATGTGATCCTCTAACACATTCTCCCACCATATGGTTCTCCACCTCCTATTGAGTTCAGACCACTGGGCCATATAGAAAATGAGTAAATGTTTCTATAACTTTGAAATAAATGCTCAATTCTTCGCATTTATTTCCTGTCAGGTAGATAGTGGAACACAAGTGAAAACTAATATAATCTACTGAAAAATACTTCAAATATGTGTTCATTAATGAAGTGAAATATTCATAATGTTGTAGATTTAGATTACAGGAAACTCAATTGACTTGTTGCTAGGTGCTATTTGCCCAGTAGTCCTTAAACCCACTCTGTTGGACCAGACTCCAGTGTAATCATTAATTAAGCATCAACAGACAAATGCTGCACTTTGCACCTTACCTAGCAAGAATCTTTTGTCAGAATTTCCATTCCTTTACAGAATCATACATTATGATTACATATTTTTACAACTTCTAACTGTGACCTTTGGTATGTGTATGTCAAATTGTGAAAAATGAAAGAACATTATTCACTTTATCAAAAAAGATGATGCTGATTATTCAAATTAGCACTTCATTGAACAACAAACAGAAAAGCTATGGCTATAATAAAGAATCAATATCAATAATGACTGCCTTGAATAAAATATTGCCTTTCAATAAATGTTACAATAAAAAATCACAGAGTTTCATTTGAAACGCAACTTCTCTATGATACTATAGGCATAAGGTAAGGATAATAAATTGTTGTGTTAAAGTGTGTTGGAATACTTGCTTTTCCTCTCAATAACATAATCTCATTCCTGATAGGTATTTGCATTATCCATTATATTCCCTCTCTTTCACCCAAAACCTAATTTCAAGATTGTGTCAAAAATATACTTTATACTAGATGTCTGTTCCACTATGTTCATAGCAGCTTTATTTGTAATATCCAGAACTTGGAAGCAACCTAGATGTCCCTCACCCGAAGAATGGATAGAGAAAATGTGGTACATCTACACAATGGAGTACTATTCAGCAGAAAAAAATAATGGAATCATGAGATTCGCAGGCAAATGGATGACACTAGAAGAAACCATCCTGAGTGAGGTAACCCAGTCACAAAAAGAGAAACATGACATGTACTCTCTCATATATGGATTTTAGACATAGATCTGGGGAGTGCCAGCCTACAATCCTATTGCCAGAGAGTCTGGGAAACAGAAACTTCATTTACTGGCTGGTTAAGTACTGAGCTGAACTCAAGAAAGCCAGTATCAGAGAGGGAGGACTGATGATCAAAGGGATTAAGACTGGGCTGGTTGAACCCCCAGAAACAGCTGACCAGACAAAGGTTAACTCTTGAATCCCAGGCATCAGCCTGGGAATCCAGCATGGGACTGATCAAGACCCCCTGAATCTGGGTGTCAGTGAGGAGGCCTAGGTAATCTATTGAGCCTTGGACAGCAGATCAGTACCCATCCCAAGTATACACACGGTCTCTGGACTCCCATAGAACAATGTGAGGTGCACTCTCACCCTGAACTCTTGGGGAAGGGTCTAGGCCCTGCCCTATATGAAATGACAGACTATGGACACCCCCATGGAGGGCCTCACCCTCCCTGGGGGAATGAGGGGATAACGGTGGGGGATGGGGGAGGGCACGGGAGGAGGGGAGGGAAAGGGAGAGGGACCTCGTACTGACTTGTGAAGCAACCTTGTTTCTTATCTAAATTTAAAATGGAAAATAAAAAAAATATTAATAAAAAAAATATATATACTTTATACTAATTTGTTGTAAAAGTATTAGATTAAAGTACAGATTATTTCTCTCAGTTATTATTCTTTATGCATTTGTAAATGCTACAGGTGGGTAGTAAAGAAAATTCATTGAGTTTTCTTCCCTATGCGGCTGTTTTGCAATGTGGCTGATTATGAATAATAGTTGGAATAAAGTTTAATAATCTTTAGTTATCCTACAAGATGTGGGATACCATAGAAGCTTAGTTCCCTTGACTGTTTAACTGAATGTCACATATCTGAAACATAGCTCCATTTCATATTTTACAAGTTCCTTTCGAAAGGTTAGAGTATGAAATACTTGAACTGTATAGATGTCCAGAAAGCAATCATTTTATGTAAATAAACCAAAAGTATCATTTGTCATATGGTAAATCAGATACTATACTTCACGCTCTAATAAAATAGCATCTAAACAAAGCATAAATTATGCTACAGAGAATACATATTATACATTAAATGCCTGTATTATCTTTAGAAATCCTCTAAAGATATGTCTGGTATTTAATCTCTATTACTTGTTGTTTGGGACACCAGCATTCAGCTCCTCCAACTAAAGATATGTTCATCAGCAAAAAATTGTACTGTTCGCCGGGCGGTGGTGGTGCACGCCTTTAATCCCAGCACTCGGGAGGCAGAGGCAGGCGGAACTCTGTGAGTTCGAGGCTGGGCTGGACCGATAGCCTCCAAAACGATACAGAGAAACCCTGTCTTGAAAAACCAAAAAAAAAAAAAAAAACAAAGAAAAGAAAAGAAAAACAAAAACGTACTGTTCTAGCCATCTTAAGTGCTGTATGTGTATATTGTTTTAAGTAAAGTCTTACTGTGTATGTTTTTTATTAGCATTATGAAATTGATACTAATAAAACTCTAGTAAAGGGTGGGAACATCTGGTTGTAAGCAGGACCCTACTTTCTCTGTCTCTATTCACTTATTAAATTATTCTGGAATGTCATCACCTTTATATTCATAGACTCTGGCACTGTTTTGTTTAAGGCATACTTAAGACTGAATTAAAAGAACAATAGAAATTAGTCAATATGGACTTTAAGCTAAATTTTATACTTGATATTTGAAAAATAAAGGATTTATATAAGAAAATATTTTAAAATGGGTTTGATGATAGTTCATCTTTTCTTTAGAGAATATGAGGAAAATACTCAATGTCAATTTTTTTTAATTTCCATTTTGCTTCTTCAATGCTTCCATTGTAACCATGCTAGTATTCTCAAATTTCACTTTTCCATGAGTTTGGAACCTCTAGAGTTACTGGAGCACTCAACATTTGTATTCTATCATAGATAATGTGAATGTTTTCAGAAAGTATAAAAAATGTGACCATACCAGAAATTTACTTACCCAGGTTCTAATAAATCTCCAAACACACTAAGAAAACATTTACATTCTTAGTGACCATTACAAAATATTTTTAAAAATTTCATACATTACAAAACTTATTTTTCATCTGGCCAACACAGTTCAATATACTGTTTGTTAGCAATCAAAGGTGTATTCAAGCACCTGTAAAACAATTATTCAAAGTACTTATTGATACTTTCTGCTATTGTAAAGTAATTCAAACAAATAGGTCTATCTCTTAATAACTCTGTATAAAAATTCAGTTTATAAATCACGGTGAGGTTACATGCAATTTATATAAATATAGCTCTAAGTTGTTCAATATATGAAATTCCAATAACTCTCCTTTTGTGTACAAGATATTTAACACATGCTATTAATTCTCTTGTATGGAGAGGCTGTTAAATATAGGGCTTCCCCTGCCCCCCAATCCCTATCCTAATCCCTTTCTGCTCCCCAGGAAGGGTGAGGCCTTCCATGGGGGAATCTTCAAAGTTAGTCTTATTATTTGGAGCAGGGCCTAGGCCCTCCCACATCTGTCTAGGCTGAGAGAGTATCCCTCTATGTGGATTGGACTCCCATAGTCCATTTGTACATTAGTGATAAATGCTGATCCACTACCAGAGGCCCCATAGAGAGCCCAGGACTCCTAACTGACATGCAGGTTCATGGAGTTTGGGTCATTTCTATGCTGGTTTCACAGAGATCAGTCTGGGGTCCATGAGCTCCCCCTTGTTCAGGTCAGCTGTTTCTGTGGGTTTCTCCAACCTGGTCTTGACCCCTTTGCTCATCACTTCTCCCTCTTTGCAATTGGATTTCAGCTCAGTGTTTGGCTGTGAGAAGTACTCTTACCTTACATTCCAAATCTAAAATTTTGCAGTGTTTTATCAAATGTGTTTAAATTCCACTTATTTAAATGTAAACTCAATTAATTACCAGACTATATTACAGACTCCAAAGATTTGTAGGAGAAAAAATGTCATGTTCAACTAGTAGTAACAGGTTCATATTTTTGAGAATCCATGTCAGACAAGGTCTTATGCATTTCCTAGTTCCTTCTATGTGAAGTTCCTCAACCCTACCACTATTAAGCCAGAAAGTAAATGCAGTTTGTTCAAACCAATAAGCTTTTGGTGCCTGTAGGTGCCAGCCTCTAATTTTATGTATGTTTTTAACAAAAGGTGATGATTATATTTCCAAAAATTACATGTTATTTTGAGTTAAATAAACAAAACAAAAAAATGCAATACATTGCTTTACTTTGCACTAAAAACATGAAGAATCTAGTAGTTTAGGAGACTGAAATGTAAAATAAGAGGGTTTTTTCCAAATGCCTATAAGATTACAAATTTATAATTATTATTATTATTATAAGTTCTACAAGTAGGAACATAATTGAATTTCCTGGGACATTGTAAGGTACATCTCTTATGAGTAATGTCCCATAATTACTAAACATCTGATCCCCATGAAATGAAGACATAAGAAACCTGCTTGTAATTTTGTTATATTTTCTCTCTTTTTTTCTCATTGTTTGTACCTTGAATCCTATGCAAATGACACATTTATTAAAATCAAGAATGAATGTCATGTAAATTATATACTGTAATAGCAGCTTTGGAGTTTCTAATTATTTCAAGGCAACCGAAGGAAATTCATTTTATTTTTTGAATCAAAACAAAGCATAAAATAATTGTTATGCTAATAAACCTATTAGAATTTGAAGACTATGTATCAATCATCTCAATACAGCAATATCTAATGTTTTGAGTGTTCTGTTCTTTTTCTAATAACATGAGGAAAGTATGAAGGCAATTAGAAATAGCACAGGACAATTAAAAAGTCATAAAAGTAGTTAAATTTTATGATGAATATGTGAGCGTGGAAACATTCATACAACCACACACACATGACTTATATTTACTGACACAATCTTCCAGAAAGATCTTTTAAAGTTGTTTTTATGAATTCACCAGTTCATTTGTCTTCTGATATATTAGCATTCTCAGCCTCAGTCATATGGGTACTTGGGGTCAGAGAATTCTTTTTATGTGGACTGTTTCATTGATTTTAACTTAGGTATCCTGAGTTCTTTTCTTGGTCCCTTTCAGTTAGTGTGTCCCTACTGCTACATCCAAGACACACCTATCTATAGAATGCACAGGTAGGACTTGGAGAGGTGTAAAGTTGTAAGAGAGGAACTCTCCCAATGGGAGATAGAAAAAACCAGCTAGCTCCTTGCCAAACGTGAGGACTGAGGATATTTGTTTAGTTAAATTTATTTCACATCAATTTACAATGAAAAATAAACATCTTCAATACTGGTGAGGTCAAGGGTACCATACCTTACTAAGCTGTTAGCACTATCTGGATCTTGTGCCAAGACGGTGCCAACAATTGTTCCAACCTTGGCATTTTCATAGACGTCCATGACATAGGAAGGCATAGAAAATAGTGGCGGTTCATCCACATCCCCCACGATGATCTTCAGCATGGTGGCATCTTTAAATGGACCCAGGTGGGAAAAGCGGAAGTCCAGGTGTGTATTTGCGCCTTCAATGTTGAGTGTGTAGGACTTCTTTTTCTCATAGTTGAGTGGCTGTAGAGAACAAGGTGATACCCAATGTTAGGATTTCCACAGTTTTCAAAGATGCAGTTATTTTTCTGGTTGACGAAGGTCAACCAGAAGAAATCAACTTATTTTCCTTTAAGAAATTAGCTATAATGTTTTCCTGAATTATGATATCACAAGAGAAGTCATGGCAATTCCAGGCTTAATCCATAGCAATTTTACTTAGCCATAGAATGTGGTTATAACCATATGCAGAAATTATTTGTCCTCAGGAAAATATTTCTTCTCAGAGACTCTTTCTAGTCCTCTCCATGCTTTATACCCAGAAATTATTAAATGAATAATCTAAACATACCTCCTGCTAACTTATTTAAATTTTGAAATAAATAACTTTTTACAATTGTGTGATTTACCTCATATTGCTTCATAATTGTTTGTTTGTTTTAAATTGAATGTTGGGTGATTTTGCTTTTGACTTTAGTTTCTTCTAGAATTTTGCTCCTCACTTCTTATCACACATTTCATTTGAAAATATTTCCTCATTTTCTATGTTTTGTGTCTTCAATCTAATGTTTATGTTCTTTGCTACATAGATATTGTGTAGTTTATGTTTGTTCTTTGTTTTACTTCTTCGACCATTTAATCTACTTTGCTTCTCATATTCCTTATTGCATTATGATATATGGAGCAAAGTTCTCAAAGCAATATTTTTTTCTTTACTTGGTTAAAACTATTTTGGCTTTGGTCCTGTATTAATTGGTCATGATAATCAGTTTAGTTTCTTTCTTAATTTTAAGTTTCCCAATGGGAGATTTTCTTGTTGTTGGGGAATGAAACTTGGGCCTAATGCATTAGGTAGTTATTCTATAATTTAATCACAAAACCAGTCCTCCAACTTCCATTAGAAATGCCTGCCATTAAAATATATATTGGGCATGACTTTATGTACATATGTCTCATAGAATACCATTGTATTATTATAGGATAAACATAGTAAACTAGTATTTTATATTAACTTTGTAAAACATATCGAGTATTAAGAATATTAGCAGTGATACAAACTGAAGAGGTTCACATATAAATAGGTAAATTAACTTTTTGAGAAGAATTGAAAGTTAGCAAAATGCTTACCATGATTCACATTTATCAATGAATTTGGGTATGCTAGCTAAAATCACCTCATATTTAGTGTTAATTGTAAGAAAGTTTGGATGTAAGCATTAGAATAGGTGATATGAGGGACTTTCTTTATTTAGAACATACTGAAATATTCATTGATGCTGCTCATTTTGATAAATACTTGTTAGAAAAAGTACACAGAGGTATTTCATCCCTATTTCTTCTTCTGATATTAAACTATCCTTAGTGTGCATTCTATCTTTTTTCTTCTTGATGGGATCAGCTATCATTGCCATTCCTTATAGAGATTCTATGTTCTTTCCTTTACCCCAAAGGACTATCCTAGTCATTTTGAATTGTTTAGATCAACAGCACAGACTTGGAAATTTTTACCAGAAAATGTAATCTTATAATAGTTCTAGATGCTAGGGCATCTTTATTGATATGCTGGAAGATCTAGTATCCAATCATGCTTGCATCCTGTTATGCAAATAGCCTATTTTTAATGTCCTTAGATTCTGGAAGTACCTATTCCCATTTGTGAAGGTCCCTTATCCAGACCGAAGCATCCCTTGCAGACTCCATGTCCAACTGTTGTCATAATGGGGTTGTAGCTTCAACATAGGATTTTAGGCAGTCATGTTTGTTCTATTCAACACTGTGGATAAAAAGTGACTAAAAATTGTCCTTAGAGGAATTACAAACAATATCTTCAGTACAGTTGATGATTAATTCTTTTGTTCCTGCCTGGTTGCCTTGGAAATTGGCCTTCTGGGGTTACAAACATTGTATAGAAGGAAAACAAATCTTCTATTCCAAAAGCAGGACTAGAAACTGGAAAGCTCCTAAACACATAGTGAATGAGCATAGCTGGGTCGTTTTAGCCATTTTGCCAGTTCTTATAAGTTAAAGCTTTAAAAAAAATCAAAACTCAAGTTCCCAAAAGTTGAGTATATGTAATCCATATATATGCACATAGAATAAAAATCTTATTCATTTAGATTTATATATCGTTAGTGGTGGGTTAATTAAATCTGAAGTCTATAGCCTACTAATTAGAACATGTTTTCTTTGGAAAGAAATGAAAGTCAAAATAAACTCTGAAGGTAATTAATATTGCTCTTCAAGAAGATCTAAATCTTATCCGGATGTATGCATTGAAACTTTTCTTTTCTAGATCTAATTCTCCATAAAAGTAAGAAGTATCTGTTCTGCTCTGCTTTATATATCTTTCTATAATTTAAATAAGACATCCTAAAATTGTGGACCTTTGCTGCCTCTCAGGAACCAGGTGGGTTATGGTTAGATGCCTAGTATTTATGAACATTACTTTCAGAGAACCCTCTGGCATGGTTCCCAGCACTGGCATGGAAGTTGACAGCCATCTCTAACTGCAGTTGCAGGGGACCTACTTCAACTTCCTACCACCACAAACATCAGGCATTTCCATGGTTTACATACTTGTGGCACATATATTAATATATAAATAAAAATAAAAACAAAGAATTTTAGACGAACTCCATCCCATCTACAGCTAGACCAGACTATTGGTATCTGGATATGTCACTGACAGGAAGCAAAAGACAAAAGATTTCATATTTGCCCAAGATCAATGTTTACAATATCACTTATTAAAACTTCCTGACCGGTTTTACATTGCTAGTAATGATTAGACCATCTTTTCTAGCAACACTGGATTGTAGAACATCTATCTTCATTCATTCATTTTTACAGAATTTTACTCCCTTAAACCCAGTGAAATTAGCGAAGGAAATTTTGGCCACATTTAATTTATTTTGATATTATTATCAAGCTGTGCATTGAAGAAAATAGACCACACATTTTCTAGCAGTTCCCTTTGGCAAAATAGATGTCACATGTCTTAATGCCACCCACCTAATGCTAAGGTGCAGGCTGTTTGTGTGGACACATGGTTTCATGTTGATGATCATCTAATATAAGTTTAACTACCTCCAGGCAGAACTAATCATCCTGGGAAAGTTGTTTGCCAAGACTGGCAGATGGATGGATAGGGACCATCTGTAGCCACAAAGGAAGGAGAGAATATTTTCAGGTTGGTCAGAAATTTGAAGACAGATTTAATACCACAAATAGGGACATTTTAAGAATGTCATGTCTGGACAAAATAAATGGTGATGTTATTGGACATTTATAGAAAATCGGGCTAAAATATAATCATTCATTTTTTTGTATGTTTCAGAATTGTGTATTAAATGTTAAGTATATTAAATTTTGTATTATAATCACAGAAGCATATAAATTAGACATTATGTTATTTACCTAGAGTGTAACTGGTAAACATGTACAACTACCCATCGTTTGTAAATTTAAAATATTCTAAAGGTTTTTAGACTTCTGAATCTATATAGAATTGTGCTTAATGTCATTCCTAGTCACAAGCATTTTTTAGCCAAAGTATAATCCATCAAATACAGTAATTTAGAAGCAACAATAGCTATTTGCAAAGTCACAAAAATCTAAAATCACGTTGAAAAGAAAGTGAAGGGAGAATTCACAGTGATTACTGAAGTATCATGAAAAGCAAATAGCATGAAGCTGCAGAAGTTTGTAAACTGAAACAGCATTTCCAATTCAACAAAAGAAAATCAGTGGTCAAGGGTGACATGATAAAGACATACAAGTATACAGTAAAGCCAGTGAGTGTTCATAGATGTTTATAGGAACATCCTGACAATCATTCCAAGTGAGCAACTATGTAGTGCTCAATTTAAAATAGGAATCATAGACAAAGTGGTTCTCCTTTTTGTGCTAGAAATCTGTATGAAAACAATGGACTTTAGTTCTTGGAAATTTGTTCATTATTATTGACAGATTCTGTTTCACCCATATATTTGTCCGTGGATGGGTGTGACTATTTGAGTCAAATTTCTCTAGTTTACAAGGCTGTAAAGCTGGGTAAATCTCCTGAGTGGAATGCCATGAGTCTGCATCATTAGTTTGTATTTACTGAGGGAGGTAGCTAAGTTCATGACGGTTCTGCATGGAAAACCATAAGCATAAGTTAATGCTTGAGGAAACCAATTACAGACATAAGAGCAAAGCTTTGCTATGTTTTGTTTCGGCTTGGTGGTATTGTTTTTTTTAATAGGACTTACTCTAGGTTTAACTTCTAGTATTTATTTGCAGACCATATTCCATTGGCTTTGTTTGGATATTTAGTTATCTACTGTAATAATGGGTATTGAACTTCACACACCATGGATACACTCTACCACTGAGCAATTTGATATATCAAAAATGAACAGATTATAAATTAAAAAGCTATACTCATAACCATGTACTGCAAGATGCAGTTTTTCTTATGAGGGAAGAGTAAGCAACTGATCTGCGAGTATAACAATCTGTCATCAGGAATCATTCTTTTTTTTTTTTCTTTTTTTAATATCATTTTTTATTTTAATTTTAAATAGCTTGTTTTACATGTCAATCCCAGTTCCCTCTCCCTCCCCTCCTCCCGCACTCCCCTTCCCCCCCAGCCTCCCACCCTGTTGCCAATTCCTTCCACATAGGGGATATCTAGAGTCTGTCATTTCACTCCGGGTAGGGTCCAGGCATTCCCCTAAGAGTCCAGGCTGAGAGAGCATCCCTCTTTGTGCTATGGGCACACAATGACTGTTTGTATTCCAGGGATAGACACTGATCCACTGCTCAAGGCCCTATAGGTTGCCCAGGCCTTCTCACTGACACTCACATTGGGGGGGTCCAGATCAGTCGCATGCTGGCCTCCCTGCTGTCAGTCTGGGGTCCAAGAGCTCTCCCCTGTTCAGATCAGCTGTCTCTGCTGGTTTTGCCAGCCCATTCTTTGCCAATTTGCTCATCACTCCTCTCTCTCTGCCACTGGGTTCCTTGGGTTCAGTTCAGTGTTT